CGAGTACCGGGGCCTAAGCCAACCCAGAAAAGGGGAACGAGGCTGACACCGCGTAACCCTTACCATACAGGATTTTAGAGTGCTTAGCGTGCACACTTACCACCATGTGGATTTTAGAAAGTGTGCAGAGTGCTCCGCGTGCACACTTACCACCATGTGGATTTTCGACGTCTCGGGGCGAACCTGGATATGGCGTACCAGTCAGGGCAGCCTGAAAAGCATAAGCCCAGCCCGGACGTCCAGGAGAATCGCAGTGCTGTGCCGGGGACCTAACGACCAAGAAGGCTCCCGCAGAAGCCTGTGATCTGGCCACGTGATCCAGGAAGCATGAAGCTGGAAAAAGGGCTATCATACAGACTGGATACAACATCGATGAGTGAGGTCATCACTGCAAGTCGAGAACCCGGTTCTGAGTTCAGCAGAGGGGGTGCTCACCGAGGACCTACCCTAGAAAAGGACAGAAACACACAGGTCCCAGAAAACACTGCAAAGTAGGCTAGCAGGCGGATTCACACAACCACCAGCGCATTTATATATATATTTTTCAAAATGGATCATACTCACCCACCATGGTTCTCGCGCAGGAGCCCCATTCAAGAAGCAAAGCCCGAAGAAGCCTCTAGTCCGGACCATCAGTAAGGTGGTTACTATGTGAGACACAGAACCAACCGAAAACATCATAGGTCCAGCATAGGAGACTGCAATGCAGGCGCAGGAGGTTCCTAGCTAACCTCGGTCAGGTGGAGATGATGGTGGTTACAGGGGAATTGGGAAGGAGAAGATGAGGGCAGATGTTAAACACCCTGAGGGAGATGAGTAGATGTTCAGGTATCACTCTGGTCCGGACGAGAGCGCTGATGCCTCGTCTGGATCACCTCCCTCAGGTCTTGCCTACCTCCCTTTGACCCGCGATTCCTCCTAGCCCTATCCGCAGGTGGGGGAGGAGCGCGAGCCGCGACACTAGCCTTCTGTGCCCGTCTCTGATCCTCAGACCGAGACGGGCCAGGACCCCTGGGTTGTTCGGGCTCAGACCTGGACCTTCGTTGAATGGAGGTTTTGAAGGCCACTGAGCATGCCTTCGCCTCCCTGAACTTCTCAACCACCATCTCGACAGAGGTTCCAAAAAGTTCGGAAGGTGAAACCGGAGCATCAAGAAGAAAGCCCCTCTCTTTCTTCCCGATATCTGTCAGGTTCACCCACGGCTGTATCTCTGTTACCACCATAGCCGCCATAGATCTGCGTGAGGAAAACGGCCTCTTCCATTCCTTCTCAACCTCCATATGGAGATCAGGAAGAAAAGGAAGGCTCACCTGAGCTGGAGGGCTATGGTCAGACAGATAACGCTCGTCGAGACGACCTCGCGGCGTCACCTTCCTGGCCCGCTTCCACGGCAAGTCAAGCCATAACCTCCAGTAGCTCATCATACGCAGGGCAGGAGGATTGGGAGGGCTCAGCCTCAACTTCTTCGCCCTCCTCAGACATCACCTGCTCTTCCTGGGCCAAACCCAGCAGAGCACTGGCCCCTGGATCAGACGATGTTAGGAAAATCACATCATCATCCTCCAGCGGCTCCCCCTCATCCACGGCCGACAAGCGTGAGAGGGAAAGCCCCTCCTTAAACTCTTCAGCCAGATCCGCCTGTGATCCCCACGACATCATTCTCCTTCATGCCTCAGCAGCGGCAGGTCCTCTACCGCGGGGAGCAGACGGCTGCCCCTCCTTCCTCGAAGAGAGAGACAGACGAGAGCTGGGATTTTTCATTGAAAAACGCAGTGAACACAGATTGCCCCCTCGAAGACATCGCGTGCGTGCTCTTCGCCCAAACAAAAGACGCAAAGATCATGTGTGTCATCAG